ATCCGACTCTCTCCCAGTTCATACTGGAGTCTTTCATAGGAGCCATTAGACCTGAGATAGTCACCCTGATAATGACCACATGGAGATCAATTGAAACTCGATCCATGAACGAGCTGCCTGGCCCCACGGATTCCCTTTCCTCTTCCTCCTGTACTAAACCTCCTCAAACATCAGCCAGCTGCCATAGAAACTGGAAGAAAACTCCAAAACGGGGAATAAATCGTTACTGGCAAAATCCTGTAAGGGAAACAAACAGTCTTCCCAGGTGATAGAGCAGGGTTTGAACTCCCCCACCCTCTAAGCTGAAGGCATCTTAAACTTTGGATAGTTTGATGCTACTTAAAGAAAACCAACTCTTTGGATTCTTAGACTCTGTGAAAGGTGACTGGAGTTGGCAGATTCTCTCTTCGATTCACCTCTATAGTGTCATGTAGCTGCTGCTTTGCCTCCAAAACTGCTCTCTGATGAATTCCCCCAACTCTTCTTGTGGCAGCTTAGTGAAGTCTCGCAACAATTTCATCATGAGACGGCCATCTGCTTGGAGTAAAATTAAGTTGTTTGTGTCATCTGACAGAAGGGGATTTCCCGTTTGTGCTTTGGGGTGATGAGATGTTCTTCATTGTTGAGGAAGAGACTAAATTCAAGCTTTGAATTTGTTTCAAAAATTTTATTTTGTGAGATTAAATCTGTGCAGGGAAATCAGTTATATTAAAGGTAGGATGGATTTTTGGCCATATTGCGTGAGATGCTCTAAACCCATAAATTAAATGTTTTGTGAAATAAAGATAAAATTCTAGTCACCTCTGAAACATACAATCCTGGAAAAACCTCAGTCATTGTGAACAGCCCAATCCTAATCATTGGATCATGATCCATCAGTCAAACACCCCTCTGACCAGTGGTGCTGCAAGGTAGGGGCCCCATGCCAATTTCCCTCTGGGATTAATAAAGTATTTTTGAATTGATTTGAATTGAATAGAATTGGAGGGGGCTCTCAGGTTAGGTCAGAGTTAGGAGTGAGACAGTCAAAAGTGCTGTCTCTTGTGGGGGGCCCAAGCATATGCCTGCCTTGCTTGTTGATACGCAGCGCCTCTGCCCGTTCCTCCCCTAACTGCACACACCCTTCTATGTGGACAGATCATGTATTCTTGACTCAGAGCAGCTAAACAGGATGAGAAGCCAGAGCTGGGCTAGTTGGTATAAAGTATGGAATGTTATGTTTTGTTTGCAAATTTCTTTTTAGTTGTTTCACGTGTTTTTTTGTTTTTTTTTATAGTCTGGCTCTCTTCTTGTTGGGAAACGTTTAAGTGACGGACCTGTTGTTTGGAAATGCAGCCAGTTGGCTGGCAGAGCCCTATGTTTAAAGCATGCGTGCTTGTGTGTGGGGAGCCAGCAGAGAGGGTTTGGTGGGGTTTGCCAAGATTGTCTGTGCTGCTAAGCAGCTGTGATTTTGAAGCTAAGAATAAACCAAGAAAGATAAAAACTGCCTCTTTTTTCACCATAAATAAACCCCAATATTTTAGCTAGCCTGCTAAATTGTTCTACGGTTACATTATGTTAGAAATTACTGCAGTAAATGCGTCAACAACGTAAAACTGAACCCTCCTGTAGTCTGGAGGCATGGATTATCCACCTTTAATAAACCACCAGGTTCACTTTTATACTTAGGCATCAATTTTCTTGAGTGAATTTCTACATTAAATTTAAGAAATGTGTGTGAATTAAGTAGAAAAACGTTCAGCTATGATTTGTAGTCTGTAACTAAGTTAGCAGCCAGCTTGCAGAAGCAGACAAGCACATGTGGAATGATACAGATCCCTGGTGTCTGTTTGTGCAAAATGTGGCGTATTGGTGTCATCTTTTGCAACATAAAGGACAGGAAGTATCTCCTCACAGCAACATGGATGCAGAATCTCAGCCTAAAGGTAGTTACTTCTGAGAGGCCCTCATGTTTCAAACAGCTTGGCTCACAAACATGTTGTGAAAGAACGGTCTTACACTCTTGGTAATCTTTTTTTCCTCACATTCACCGTCTCCAGCCTCCCCACCTCCAGTTTTCAATAACCCACATAGTGAGTGTGGAGGATGGGATTTGATGGAATTAACCATCCCAGGAAAAATAAATAAATCAAATAGATAAAAGCCTAAAGAAGGAACGTGGGACCACATTTGATACAGACCTGAATTACACCTTAACCATTTGTTCATATTTTTATTCATCTGCCCCTGCGGTGATTTGCGTTATGCAGCGTCTGCCTTAATGGTGTCATGGTGAAATGTGACTGCTCACATCGATTTCACCCACTGAAAAGATGCCGGTTCTGTAAGTTTATCCTCAGAAACAACATGAAACTGTGGGAGTTTGTCGTCCACCTTATCTGATCCTTTTGTGAATGCACAATGGAAATCAACCCACGTCTTTTCTTTTTCATTATTTAAGGTGGAACTTTCCTCCCTGCTTGTAAATATGTTTGGATTTAAGAGTTGTTCTTGTTATCTGTCTCAAGAGTGTTTCCATCTCCCATTTCTTCCCTCTCCGTGCTCGCTGCAGGGCACAGCAACTTCATGGTTGTGATTGTTTGTAACAGACGTGTTATCAAAGTCTGAACCCTGTGAATCTTCACTGCTCTATAAAAAACATCCCTCATTGCACAATAGAATGTCCTTTTTTATCCTTTCTCGTTTTACAGAGAAAATATGATTATGCGCTGCTGTCTCTCTGCTTTGTGCTTTAAAGAGAATATTTTATTTTCTTTAATATTCATCATGAATATATAATTATGTTGGCATGCTTTGCTGTACAAATCTGAAACCCAAACACATTGAATATAATTATATAAGATAACATGTAAATTGATGTGTTTGCTCTTGAATGCACTCTGCAGATGTAGCCCAAGTTCACTGAGAAACCGTTTTACTTGTTGAAATATGATCGGTCTCAGTTTCGCGTGTAGGCTGAACATGAAAATAGTCTACCCCATTTGATGCATTAGCTTCTGACAGAAAATAGATGGAAAAATGCTCAGTTCAGAAAAGCCTGACAGATCTACATCACACTGTCACTTAACAATCATGGACTCACCCATCTTGGCCCCCCGACAGGGATGGCTGACAATGATTTAGCGACTAGGAGAGAGCAGAGAGCGTCTCGGATAGTCGTAGCCAACTGTTAGGTATTAAAAATTGGTATATGGCTATATTTTATATGCCTTCTAGGGTTCTACTTTTCAACACACTGGTGTTGATGAGCTACAGTGAAGCCAAAGTTGTCCTGAGTTGCGCCACCGGTCCCCCCAATCACAACCAGCAGTTAGCATTAGCAAATCCACCACATGGCAGAACTTTTCCAGACTTGGGTTGTTTGTGGAGATAAAACATCAACATTGCAGTGCACATGGAGTCAGTGGTAGAGTCGCATTGCTGTTAGCCTATCAGAGGTGAGATGTCCGAATATCAGGAAGTAAGAGCCCAAATTCTGCAGTCTTCTTCTCCCCTCTCCTCCGGCTTACTTCCACCTCCTGAAACACGAGCGCGAGACTCTTAGCATTCATTCATACTAGAAACCACTGCACATGTATTGGAAATGTAAAACAAAAAACAATTTGGACTTTAGGTTCATCAGTGTAACCAAAGTAACTGCCTGGACAAAAATGTGTTCCAGATGGTTTACTTTACTTATTTGACATTCTGAGAAAAATGGTTTAGTTGGTACATATAAATTTCCCTGAGTCCCCTCTGATACTGAGCTGTAATGAAAAAGACACACACACACACACACACACACACCAGTGCATATACCCCTATTCTCATCAGTATGCCGGAGTTCCACTGAATTGCTTTTCTACCAGCAATACCAAAGTCAGCCACTCTGTTTTCCTCACAGAACTGCATTCCTGAAATCTGTTGTCCTTTTGACTTTGATGAGGTAGAAAAAAAAACTCACAGATGTCTTTTGCACTTAACCCGGTCCACCTCAGATGTTAGCCGGTCCGTCCAGCCCACTTCCATTAGCATGTTGGATTAATTCCTGCCGGTTATCAAGTTCAGACGTAATAAGGCAGCCCTGGGTGGTAGGTAGGGCGAATCACTTTGGAGGGCAGCGCTTTCTTACCTTCTTTTTTTCCCAGCTGCCGTCCTCACGTCCCAAAACTGATAGCAGGGCAGACGCATCAGAGAGGATTAAGCTAATGTGACGGCAGAGCCACCTACCAGGGGCCCCCACAGGATAATTTTAAGAGACAGTCCTTGACATTCAGGGAATAACTTGTCAGGACCTGGCTACAGGCAAATATTGAGGATATTAATCCTTAATGTAATGGCCTTGACTAGATTTTCCTCTTGTCTCTGGAAGCAGCTTTAAGCACACTCATAAGTCTCCTTAATCACTGACATAAAGCAGTCCCTCAAGGATTCTCCTGAGTTTTACAGTAATTATTGCGTACCAAAAAATGCCTCTGTTTTTCATTCTGGGCTGTTTGAAAATTTGCCAGGCTATTTGCATAATGTTTGTTGTTAATTTGCCAGAGTTTGATGACACGCTGGCAGAGGAGCGCTTTGTTTTGTTGCAGTAAAAAAAAAATGTGAAGAAGAGTAAAAATCACAGTCTGAGTCAATTTATTAAATATATCTTAGCAGTTAGATCTGCGTCTCGGCTTCGGTCTTTGCCTGTTTAAATCACATTGCTGCAGATTTGAGGGTTTAAATTAAAGCATAAAGGGAGAATTGACACAGTTTGAATTCAGTTCTACTCGCTGCAGATCAAGATAGAACTGTGTCATAAAATAAAAGACAACATGCGGCTGTGCATTTTTAGTTGTATTCATAAAAGATTATACGTTATAATAAACCACAGAGACATGTAACAAATCTCAAAAGGAGCCTAATGATTACAGTTTGTCCTTGCTGCAGGTTTGCTCTCATATGTTGCATCAGCTTCCTGCTTTTTTTTTCTTTCCATGATGAGTTGCATTACTGATCACTTCTTCTGATCTTGTCCTCAGGTCTGCTCATCGGGTCTGGCTGTGCACTCTATCCACTGGGATGGGACAGTGAGGAGGTCAAACAGACCTGCAGCAACAGCTCAGACCAGTTTAAACTGGGTACGATGTTTCACGCCTCACACACACACACACACACACACACACACACACACACACACACACACACACACACACACACACACAACCAAAACACCTGAACAGAGTAGTGTGACCAATTGTCCTCTTATCCTCCAACATGTCCAACTTTAACTCTGTCTGGGGCATCTGGAGTGTTTCATAGATTGATGAAAATGTGTGGGTTTGTGTAAATTTGAAGGGACAAATAGATGTGTCCAAATTCAGGGGCAGCATCCTTGTAAGGACCCATCCTACTTGGTGCTTGTAGGGGAGCCGGCCACAGACCTCATATATGTAGATGCGACGTAAACTAGGGCTGCCCTTTTGGAGCTTGTATGGTAGAGAGCGACGCCATCTTGGATGGGTCCCCAGTCGCCGCTAGTGCATTTATTTCTACTGAAGAAAGTGTTTACCCGACTAAAAAATAAATTTATTATGATTTTAAACAAAATCAGACACGTGGTATGGCATGATAATTAAAATAGGAATATTAAGATAAAATAAACTCCCAACAGGTAGGCCATAAAAGTCATCAGTAATCCCACGTGAACTGTTTTTCAATAGTGCACTGGTTCTTGCAACCATAGGTAGCCTAAAAATGGGCATAGTTAACCATCCTGCATTGACTCCAGTTGGGTTTGGGCGTTAGGAACCCACCCAGTATGTGGCAGATACTGTTACACTCTCCAGTGCCCAATGACATGTCTACGTATTCATGTCTATGGTGCTGGCGCTCCAACCATGCTGACCATTGTGAGTGACAGCCAGCCCGGGCGCAAGGTCTCGAATGCCACCCCCATACAAGCTCTTTTACGAGTAATTTGTTTTATTTTAGGCAAAAAATATATTTAACAAACAAATATGCTTGCGGAAAATACAATCGCATTAAGATTACAACATTTTCACCACCAGACATTAATATATTAGCATTTAAAATTGTATCCCTCTCCAGCTCTATCAGCCATTACAGGGTTTCCCTTACATAGGCATAGCCGTGGCGGGCCGCCACGGCTGAAATCCCACCGCCACGCCTACAAGATCCCAAGTTTTGTTTTTTTTTTGCGCTGTTTCCCAAAGAAGCAGCAGGAACTACTATGTTGTCGCTTGTGATCACAGCCGGCGGGCAGCAAGGAGGAGTAGGCAGGGCAAGGTGAAGTTACAGCATAAGTTACTGAGTTTAAAATTAGAAAGGTAGCAGTGGATATAATGCTTTTTGGTTTACATGTTTCAGTAGCATTAAGATAAACGAGTGTTGACGATCTTGACAGGGTTTCCTCTGGTGCTTATTAGGTCAGATTTTCCTCCCCCCACCAGGCTAAGCATCACTTATTCATGTAAAATGTATTAATTTTTTTCATGACTGACTTTAGTCGCATCTAATACTGTATTACGGCGTGAGCGCAACAGCGACAACTTAAGATCGATGTGTGAGCAGCCTGAGAGGTCGGGTGTTTCATCTGAACCCTAAAACCTCCAGCAGGCTACGCTGCACTATTGACGTGTTAGCGCGCGGCGTCTCGGAGAAAGCGTAAAAACACGTTGGACGCTTCTTCTGAAGCAGGAAAATAACACTTCGTAAGCAGAGCATGACGTTGCCTTGGCTCGTTCACGGCCGAGCCGGACTGAGCTCGATAACATTGACCCAGCACAGCCACTGGGTCGTTGGAGCTGCCCCGTGACTGCCTGATGGAAAACCAGCGGGTTTCATCAGACTCGTAAAGTTTCTTGTTTTTGCTGGGGACCCCCTGTATTTTACCGCTCCCTCCTGCAGTCTTCCCCTATTAAAATTTAAAATGATTCTGTAAATTCCGTGTATCAATAGAAACAATCTCTGCCTCTGCCAGCTGCAGTAAATGTAGTCTCCAAATAATAAATAAGAGGTGCATTTATCTGTGTATCTCCTTCGATCTGCATTAGTGATATTCTCAGCACCAGAACAGTGAAGCAAAGAAACAGATTCCTGAGTTTGTGTATAATTTTATTTATTAGGTGCTTCTAACCTGTCCTATTTCTCTCTGAAATGAGACCAAATCAGTGGTTCTATGGGTTGTCTCCACTCTGCACTAAAAATTTTTACTTTGTTTAGAGAAGTGTCATAATCCCCCCCCACCCCCCACCCACACACACACACACACCACCGCCACAGCTGGAAAAATTCCTAGGGGAAACACTGCATTATTACAAGAACAAACCTGCAATGAATCTGGGGATAGCCTTGACCAGTGATGAATACACTTGACCCATCTTCAAAATTGGGGAAAATGAGGACGCATTTTGAGTATCGGTCAAATTCGAACAGCCTTGCGTTTAGTCCTTAAAATGCAGATGCAAAATAATGCATCCCCTGGATTTCGAAAAATCCAGTATTGATTTTACTGATGTGATTAGTTGGTCCAAACAAATGACTAAAGTTAGGCTGGCATTTTCACACTGAAGATTTGGTTTGTCCGTACTAATTCCGAAAGCTACGCAAGCACATGGTGTGCTCACGGTAATCAGGCCTACTGAGGTTTTCTGCTGGTTGTATTTCTTTTTCTTTGTATGAAACATGAGCAACTTTTATGAATAAAGACATCATTACATTTGTAACTGATGTGTAGTACAATTAAAAATCTTACAATGCGCCATAAATAAAAATAGTTGAATTAATTTCCTCACATGGGAAAAATGAGTTTGGGTTATTTTTCTTTTTATGAAATACTGCACTGTTCTGCATAAGAAACAATCGTTCAAAGGCTGATGAATACATGAAGGTTTTCAATTTTGATTTAAAAGTGTCTAGAACTACTTAGTTGAATAAATAACAGCATTATGAGACAAAAACAAAGTATACAGAAAAACACAAACATCCAGCTGTGTTCACTAAACGCATGCAAACATTCCCACATGAACTGTTACCAGAGCTGTTTTATTGATAGTTTGATATTGATTTTAAGGCTTAGCCGGGTTTAAAAAAAACAGAAGAGTCAATCTAGTTTGTCTGAGCGCCGTTGCCATGGTGTGGCATCATCATCAGGCGCCGTTCCTTGAGCAAACCTATCATATTTTTTTAGAAATCTAAATCAAGTCGCACTTACAGGGAGGTCTAAATTAAACTAGTTTAAATATGTCCTGCAGCACAATTCCATTTCCAGAAAAGAGGAAACCCGTCTCACCACCACCCTCGACACTCTCACCTTTTTCCGAAAACAGACACACGTCCTTCATGCTGTCATGCACGGTGAAGTCATGAATTTTTGGTGTTGTAGATGCATGTTAAAGACTCAGGCGGTAGCTGGTGAGCTAGTGGTCCTCTCTATAAATGTGTGCTGAGAATAACTAGGAGTCGGGTCTGTGCTCTGTATGCAGCGGGTGTTAGGAGGACTACCTCACAGTCAGTAATATGCTTCTTTATCAGACACCAGGGAGACGGGAGAGCTTTTCATCTCACAGCTGCTGCTATATTTGATGCTAATCAAATAGTGTTGAATGTTTTACCGCATTTAAATATTTTATTTTTTTAAATCTACAATATCAGCAAACTTAAGAGAAAAGATCAAATATATACTTGATAAGATAAATATAAACTTTAGTTGTATTGAGATCAGATTTTTCATAAACAGTTTCATTAATTTTTGCTAAATCTAACCCTTAAACTGAAAAAGCTGTGGAGAAATTCCCTGTTACTTGCCCTAGATTAAATGTTTTTTTTATTTTTATTATTATTCCATAAGAAATTAGCTTCACCTCACTGAGCATATGGACACTGAATAGCCACAGTTTGTGTCCATCTGCTCCGTTCTGATCTCAAAAGGAAAAGCGTATTTTTCTGAGTTGGATTTTTTCACTTTAGCAGCATAAACCATTTCACCCTCTGGACTCAAGCAAATACTCTTTTTGCCTCATAAAACTGGTAAACACTTCTGCGCTGTACTAATGCCTGGAGAATTTGTTAATCTCCATTTCTGCCCTGATTTTTCTTATTTTGAAATTTCAGATGGCCTGCCTAGTGCTGATGGATGTCCTGGTGAAACCAGTGACACGTCAGACTAGTCTGATATATTTAGTACAACCCAAAATAGAAGCAGCATTTGCACCAAGTCACTTGAGCAGATCTTTCTGAGACTGACATCAGCCACAGAGGAAAAGCAGATTAAACAGTCAATACATTTAAAAGAAACTGCTCTTTTGATTACAGAGCAAACTCTTCTTTCGCCATTTAGCATCAGGCATTCATACTCTTGATGCTTCTGCATATTTGCAGAATTGTCAGGAGAAAAGCGTTTGAGGAAAATCAAAAGGGGCAGATGAGCAAAATGTGACTTTTTTGGTTACTTGGACTTCCGTGATGAGGTCTGGTGACTGTGGAGGCTGTTGGAGTCCAGTGATGTCATGGTCATGGTCATGCTGGAAGTAGCCATCAGAAGATGGGTCCATGTGGTCGTAAAGGGATGGATATGGTCAGCAACAATGCACTGCTAGGCTGTGGTGTTTAAACCAGGCTCAGGTGGTACTAAGGGGTCCAAGGTGGGACCAAACCCCCCTCCCCCCATGCTTTCATGCTGTTGATACATAATTCCAACCCAAACATCAGATTGTTGGAGCTGAAATCCAAACTCAGACCAGGAAAGGTTTTTACAGTCTCATATGGTCCAGTTCTGGTGAATCGTAGCCTCGGTTTCCTGTTCTTAGATGACAGGAGTAACACCCGGTGTGGTCTTCTGCAGTTCTTAAAGCTACAGTTGCTTTCCTATCATCTAGAACAGGGGTGTCAAACTCAAACTCACAAGGGGCCGAAATGAAACTCTGGGGCTGAGTTGAGGGCCAAACTTAATATTTTTGAAAAAGTGACGGCAAATTTGCACATTTTCTTTATCAACATATATGCAATTTTGAACCTTTAAATTTGGAAACAAACGTATTTCAGCATTAACACTGAATGTGGAATAACCAAATTACACACGAGCAAGTCAGTTTTAAATAAAAGGCATCAGTGGTATTCA